AGGTTAGGTTAGGTAAGGTAAGGTTAGGTAAGGTTAGATTAGGGAACTTTTTCATCTACGTGTATTGGTTTAGGTTATATGTTAGATAAGTTTTTAATGAGGAACGCTCTTCTTCAAGTTCGTAGGTTAGGAGGTTAGTTTTTGTTGAAAAACACTTTTCCCGTCAACTATATGAGTAATATGTTGAGTTAGTAGTTGAAGAGAAACTTTACAACTTCGTAGGTTGGGTTGGGTTATAGATTAGGATTGTTTATCATTATATTTTCGAAAATTAACTGTCCCAAGTCTATGGAAATTATAAGAGAAAGAAGCTTGATGAAAATGGGCTCATATCCATCCCTTTTTCATTCGTCCAAATGATTATGATGTTCCAGAATTACTACATCAATTTTTTTATAGTGAAATAAAGAAATGGAACGCTCTCAAAATCCTTCAAGTAATTATTCGCTACGGAAAGGATCTCTTGGAAATAATCACATGAATAATGGTTCTCTCATTCATTCGATTCTCATCTACACTCTCTTTATATTCTGCCATTTTCAGATAACTCAGTGAACAGTTAGTAACTTCAGTTTCCTAACAAATCATGTTTGTAATCATTTCCACCATCAAGATCTGAGAAACGCAGCAAAAACGTTCAATATCAATAAAACTTTTTCCATTATCTTTTCTTCTATGTCTGTTCTCGTACTTATTTCCATCAAAATCTTCTCTGGAAAGGAATCCAATGAAAAAGTCCTTTGTCTGGCACAAGAAGTTTTCACGCCTTCTGCTTATTGGATTTTCAGTAGTTTCAGTCTCATCTCAAAGTGATATAAACCTCCGTTTTATTTCTCGTGTCTTTCAGACAAGAAGAGTTTGATGACATTACACAAAAAATAATAAATAAATCTGACATCACTAATTACCAAGCAAGCGTTTTCAACTTGTTTTCAGCCGTTCCTGAATCTGGATAACCTCAATGGAAAATGTCTTCGAAACTCATTTCAGCAGTTTATCTCTTCAAATGTTCGAAATTATTCAACATTCACTTCCCTTCAATAATGAATTCTATCCACAAACTCATATCTCACATAATCTCATCGTTGTGAAACATAACAGTGGTTGAAAACCCTTTTGAGTTTGTCAATTATCCAAACCAGTAGGTGGGTAGTGTGTTCTTTCAGAACGGCCAGCTAGATCACCTGATATGACCCCTCTAGATTTTTCAGAAAATACGCGATATCTAAACCACACCTATTTATATCTCCTAGGGTAAACTTTCGGGAAATGTTCTAGTGCAAGTTCCCGGTAATCTTCAACAGAGGGATCCTCATCAATAGCAGTGAGTTGATTGAAATATGATTTTTGTCATTGTTCATAGTTGTCATGTCACTCCTCGCCATGTTCAGACTATAGAAAGCATCCAGAAGTATGATGCCATGTGCTGTGTGTTCTTTGAAACGAGTGTCAATAGCCCGCTCAGTCGAGCCGATATATCTATTGTCACAATCTTCACAGTGTCTTCCATATATCCCCGACTTTACATTTTACAACCCCAAAGACAATATATTGGTTAATTGTATTAATAACACATCATTTTATTTCTATTTCGGGTGGCAATCATTCTTTATTCATCATTTTGTGTTTTTGTGTGAAAACTGGAATGAGGTGCTCAAAAACACTTGAAATATTGACAGTGGCATACGGCGATTATACTCTGTACCTTTTGTATTACATTTCAGTACCTAGATCATTATAATTATTTGTTATTCAATTCAGAATATCGTTTTTCAGAATCACTTTCAGTTGTCTTCAACATATTCATTCAAATAACAATGGCACTCAAGCTTATATCACAGAGTTACGTAGAGTGATGACACGTTTCAAAAACTACTCCACACACAATTCCGCATGTCTTGCAAGAAAGAAGACGCCTCTCGGAAGGGCACGAAAATCCACAAGATGTTCAGGAAGGTCGAAAGTTCATGCCATATTGATTAAAGTAACATCTGCCAGTAGTAAATCCACTTTCTAGGCTTTATTTATGTTCTGTTTCGTCGTGAATTTGGGGGATCCCGATCCCAGGTGAATTATTAAGTCAAACAGCTGGTTATGCCATCACTATTTCAAGCAGTAGTGAGACGAGAACGTTAAAGTTTATTGGTGGTTCAGTGTTCGTTCAAAAAGGACCAATTCTTAAATATTTTAAGAGGCATCTAACGTGAAACTCCCGAACAAATAAAGTTTGCAAAAATTATTCCATGTATTTTGCTACACAGAGTGGATGATGATGTAGCAAATACCATTGTGTTAGTAACGTAAAATTCCGTTTTATTCATGGAAAATGAGAAGTTATTTCAAAACAGATATCTTCGTCCCGATCAAGTCTCAATATTCTCAATATCGGTGTCGATAATTCCGCATCTGAAAAAGCGTTTCCATAACTTTATAACTGTCGCACCTTCCGGCGTCATTGTGATCATGTTTAAATCAAGCTAGACTAAACAAATGTATACAGTGCCTTCATTTCAAAACTTCCCACCCCTAGTACTTCGTTTGGCTGAAAGAATTTGCCGTAGGCAAAAAACACGTCAATTTAGATATCGAGAGGGAAGTTCAAAACCAGTGCCAGTGGTATTTTAGGTTTAACCCCCTTACCCCTAGCTACCCCCACTTAATAATTTTAAATAGCACCCCCTATCTTGTAACACATCATTTCAAAGATCTTAAAAATCCTCACTCAACCCCGTTTAGAAAACTGAAATTAGTTGATCCGTTCTCGTAAATAACACAGTCAAATTGGCGTTTTTTTTTATTTTGTCCATGGAATCGTTATTTTACTCATTATACTTTATATTTGAAACCTCGGACTTTCCGGGGCATCGTTCCGGAACCATATAATGAGAGAGAACTATAAGTAGGTATACCAAATGATTTAGATACAGACACCATAAAAACCCTAAATTCATGGGTGGATATCTGACAATGGATGAAACATGGCTCCAAAATCAAATTTTATTAAAAAAAATAGTTTTTATGTTTGCCTACGTACTTTCAGATAGTAGTTAGTAAAAGTCGACGAGATTCGATCCACTGAGACAAGGAAAACCTGAACAATTTCAAACCTGAAATTAAAATCGTCTAGTAGCCAGTTTTCGCAACACGCGATGATAAGCAACTCCTCATCGACCCACAATGCTCTAAGACAATTGCGCTTTGTTGAGACCCTCCATTCTTTCACCCTTTTCAATTAGTCTAATCTTCACTTCCACTCAGCGACTCGTCCTCTCTCTTTCAGCAGTGGGATATCATGAACCCGCCCGAGTGTCATAAAAAGCGGATTGATTTCAGGCATTAATTATTATTGAGGTCTTATACTGACTTTTATTGTTCTTATTCAACAAACGGTGATGTGACGTACGTAAATTAAAAAAATATTGTAATATTTGCGCAAATTCATGCGTCTGAGATATGCGTCTGATTTTAAAAGTTCCTTTCTTTGTAGATATTTTGCCAGAAAAATAATGATTCCTCCGGTGTCATTTCTGAAATAACGACATTCTGAAAATCTCCGGCCATCGAGTTATCATTAAAAACCCTACCTAACTTTGTCGTGCGAAAATCCTCTTTTGTTCATCCTGTTTAACAAAACATTCCGCGTAAGCCGATCTCCAGTCCTGCGAGTCCTGCATCGTCCTTTTATTCCAGACTTTTGGAAGCTTTCATGTTTGTTTCGTTGTACGAATAAAAAGCTTAACGAACATTTCAAAACGTGAAAATAGGGAAATGCTGGAACGAAGTGAGCCAGTTCTGTGATGAAGGACCCCAGGACTATCCATTCAGGATTAATTAAATTGCTATGGAATGCTTGCCGGAAATCAATCGCTCACGCTGATTGACAACCGTAATTAAAATCGACCATAGAGCCCTTCTACTTCCACCTAATTAATATCAATAGTGACTAGGATCAAAGAGATGGAAATCATATTGAGCTTGTCCATTGGAATTCACTTAGCAGATCTAGGCTTTGATGTTAGGATAAAAATCCAATAGTATTCAATGTAAACGAAAACAAAGAATACAAAAACAAATACAAGTTTAGAAAACAGAAATCATGATAAAATATGAAAATAATAATGATGGTAATGAAACTGGTAATGATGATGATAAAGCAGAGGAAAGGATAGCGATCGGCGCTACAGGATTTTGAGGAACTATGAAAAACATTTACATTTGATACACTTCTTAAAACAATCAAAGAATCACTTCTTTATGAGCTTGTGATTTTTTCAACAAAAAATAACCCATTACCTATATGTTACAATATTTTGAAGGGCAATGCAAAATGCTGAATTATTGGATAATTTTTTGTTTTGTACTGGGTATTCGTCAGAAAATAAAAGAACTACTAAGTCAAAATGAAAACCCTCCATTTATTGAAGTCAAAAGTAAAGAAAAAGTTGTTTTGTGTTACAATTAATGGCTCAGTATCTTGTTTTTCCTTCTAGGACAGAAATCGCAGGACTCTTCTCAAAGAGCGATCTTCAACTCATCCAAAGTGGTAGGTTGGTTTTGTTGGTTTCGAATGGTTCTTCCCAGTTGATCCCAGATATGTTCGATGGGCTTGAGACCCGGGCTGCAAGCGTACCACCCCAAAGTAGTGGGGTGGTACGCTTGTAAAACTTCCTGGTTTTATGCCCTGTAACGTATCTGGACAAACACCTCATTAACGCACTTTTGAGCGGTCAAGGATTCGTTGCGTATATCCACAAGATCTTTAAAATCATTGAGTGTCATTCAACCCCACACGATCCTTGATCCACCTCCAAATAGAACCCCTGAAAATAAGCAGCAGAGGATAAAATGTGTATTCCTTCTTCTGTATACCCTGGCACGACCATCATTACCAAGAAGAGTGAATTCAGAGTACATCACGCCAATGCCTTAGTTACCAACTCTGCGTCCAAGCAAACTGCATTCTTTCTTTGTGTGACGTGATGTAAGTCGAGGAAACTTGGGTCCTCGTTGCTCGGCTTAGCTCATTTTGTAGCTCCCTGGCTGTTGAAAACTCTGTACTCAGATGTAAATACCTATCCTCCTGGGCTAAAGTGGACCTCCACCATCCTTGACCTGGCCTCCGATGGACAGTCTCTAGTTGTTGGTAGTGGTTCCAAAGTTTTAAAACCACTGATTAACTTAGACCTAACCTCTGACTCACCTAACGTTGATAAACACCACTTTCAATCCATGGAAGAAATTTTCTGACACTTGCCATGGTACATAAACAGGAGGTATGTTTCGGTTTGTTGACATAAAGATAAGATTCATGTATTCTAATCCAAAGCCAAGAGACGGAAATAACCTATGTTGTTAAGGAAGCAGCTGGACTGAGAATTCTAGGACCCAGTGGCACCTACAGCCTGATGACTTCAACAATTGCGGAACCAGCCAAATGTTACACCCATGCTCAATCCCTAGAGAGATGAGATAGAAGCAAAGGATGCGTTCTTGCCAGGATCACCTTGGGCGACCCTGGGAAGCTGGCGCCGAAGAAATATCTGGTAATGACCAGGAAAAATCTACACTCAACAGTAGGATTTCTGACTGACCACTGTAAACTAAGGAAACACACCTACTACTCTACAGATACAGAACTAGAACACCTCTGCTGTTTCTCATCAAAGTTGACTAACTTATTATACAAAGTAGTGATCCTTTATTTGTTTTGAGGAGTGTAAAATGTCTATAGCAGTAGGTGTATATTACAAACCGCCTAATTCATCACGGGTAACTTCAAACTTCATACTCACCTGTTGGTAGAAATGCAGATCGGACTTCGAGAATAACATAATAGCTGCGAAGTAAGAGGCACATGTGCCAATACTCAAAATGATACAATATCGTAGTCTTATAGGTAGCGTCACGTATACCAAATATACTAGCAGTAGAACCCATCCTAGACTATCCCTGGACGTGACTTCGTTCTTCTTGAGGATGAGAGCCGATAGCACCTGGGTGATCGCCACGTACCAACACATGTAGGGTATTGCTGCCCAAGGAATAGTGCACTTCATTTCTTTTTTGCATAGTACCAACAGCGATGTGTTCGTTGTGATGTAGAGGATCATGACGGTGAAGAATATATGGTCTTGTCCGTTTGGAACCTGAAAAAAAAGGCTTTTCAGCTACACGGAATTGTCTGTGGATTGAGAAGCACCGTTATATACTCATTCTGCAGCAAACAAACTCTGGTTTGACCAATATCTCATGGAAAATATTGAGCCACCTGATGTGGCTAGAAATATATCAAAACTTCCAAATTGTAATCACACTTATCGTCTCAAATCTTTCAGTTACCTTTATTGTTTTGCACACCTAACAGAAATATACTTGGAGAGATGATGAATATTTTGGAGGGGATTGTAATCAAGAACTAGTGAGGATAGAGATGAGGTGGAGGAAGAAAAAGTTCTGTTAATTCAATCGTGCGTAGATTCCTGGAGAGAAAAGTCAGACCATAGATGACGCAACAAAGACAGATCATTTATATGTATATTCATCGGAAAAAAAGAGATTCAAGATTACCAAGAGGATATGCAGCTCATATTCGTTGAAGTTTGATGTATAATTTTGAAAATGTCCTTATAGGATGAAACTGCAGTAACGTTAGTTACAAATAAAAGTGGTGAAAAACATAGAAAGTGTTATTTCCCATATTCCATTATGATTTTCCACCATATTCGTAATCTTGCTCAACCATCAAGTGGAACAACGCCACTCTCAAGATGTCACATCAGTGGAGAACTCTCTTCTTGGCAAGTAATAGCACAAGCTCCAGCAGATCTGGTCATTACAACTATCGCTTCTGATGTACTTGCTATACTTCTTTATAGTAGACTCAAAAGAAGCTTAATCAACTAGACGTGAAGACAAAAATGGCGTCAATCTTAAGGTGTCACATCGTTTGAGAACTCTCTTTTTGGCAAGTAATAGCACAAACTTCAGCAGATCTGGTCATTACAACTATCGCTTCTAATGTACTTGCTATACTCATTCAACTAGACGTGACGACCAAAAATGACGACAATCTCAAGGTGTCACATTGGTGGAGGACACTCTTCTTGGCAAGTAATAGCACAAACTCCAGAAAATCTGGTCATTAGAACTATCGCTTCTAATGTACTTGCTATACTCCTTTATAGTAGACTCAAAAGAAGCTTAATCAACTAGACGTGAAGACCAAAAATGGCGTCAATCTTGAGGTGTCATATCGGTTGAGAACTCTGTTCTTGGCAAGTAATAGCACAAACTCCAGCAGATCTGGTCATTAAAACTATCGCTTCTAATGTACTTGCTATACTCCTCTATAGTAGACTCAAAAGAAGCTCAATCAACTAGACGTGAAGACCAAAAATGACGTCAATTTCAAGGTGTCACATTGGTGGAGAACTCTCTTCTTGGCAAGTAATAGCACAAACTCCAGCAGATCTGATCATTAGAACTATCGCTTCTAATGTACTTACTATACTCATTCAACTAGACGTGAAGACCAAAAATGACGTTAATCTCAAGGTGTCACATCGGTGGAGAACTCTCTTCTTGGCAAGTAATAGCTCAAGCAGATATGGTCATTAGAACTCTCGGAAGAGAACAAAGTTGCTGCTTCAAATACACTTGCTATACTCTTCCATAGTACACTCAAAAGAAGCTCAATCAACTAGACGTGAAGACCAAAAATGACTCCCAAGGAGTTTGCATTTCAAGTTGCTTGTTCCATGGTTAAGCTTCCCAAGACAACAGGAGGATCGTGGAGTTTTCAGTTTGGAGTATCTAATGACAGAATGGTATTGGATGAAGTTAGTAGTTCGGTTCACGAACATGAGGGAGCATTTCCTTCTGAGACTGCTGCTCAAGTAGCTGATGAACTGAGTTCAGATTGAAACATTGAACGATGTCACCACAACTCAGTTACCAAGATAGAACTTGTTAAGCAAAAGGCATACATCAAACTTCTTTGATTGACGACTTGTTTATTTTGTGGAAATTCATGTTTGAGGATACCCTACAAAAACACACTTTTGTCTATTTTCCACGATATTTCTTTATTGTTGACTAGTTTCGACTATTACACCATTTTCAACAACAATAAAGAAATAGCGTGGAAAATAGACAAAAGTGTGTTTTTGTAGGGTATCCTCAGCATGCATCAAAGCTTAAGCGATCACTTTGCGCCTGTAGCTTTGCGAACAATATTGATGGGCTCAGCTTTTTAAATCAGCTGAGATTTTTTTCCTTAATGCCAGTAGGCTAAGGTCAAATAATAGCGAGGAAATTCGATAGGAAAGCAGCATTTTTACATAGAGACATCGATTTTGATAATTTTATAAACATAATTGATGGATTGAATAGAAAGCGAGGAAGAGGGGCTTTCAAGAATGGTGAGTGGGTTTATGTTTTGAAAAAATTAATCAGGATAGGCTGCACTAATCAATGAGCAGCCAATCCTCACACGTTTGCTACAATTGACGGGCAACAAAATGCAATTTATATTCTTGAGCTAAAACAAACTAACGAACAATCTGAATTCGGACTCTGAGTCGAAAAAAAGTTTATTCACCCAAAATTATTGAAAAATAAGAGAAAAATAAGAGATCCGAACAAATCAATGTATCAAACCAAGATTGGATAGCTATTTTATTTTTATTCAGTTTAGAACCGTCAGTTGAAAACTCCGACAAGGTTCAGAACTCTTGTCGATATCAACGGGATGACTGAACATATTGAAGCACACTGTCAGTATATGTATGTGAATTCTTTGTGTATTCTATAAGTGATCTGAAAAATTTTTGACCTAACAAAGATGCAAGACATTTTGTCGAATTGCCCCTTCATTTGACGAAAATCTCTGTCCTACGAGCGCAATTATCAGACCAGGGAACAAAAAAGTCACTCGGAGCTAGATCTGGTGTGTAAGGCGGGTGGTCAAGCAGTTCAAACCGTAATTCGTGGATTTTCACCACAGCAACCGCTGAATTGTGAGACGGTGCGTTATCTTGATGAGGCAGATTTTTTTTCTGCAAAGTTCTGCCTGCAGCTTCTCAAGTAATGATGCATAGTACGCTCCTATAATGATTTTATCTTTTTGAAAATTATCGATTGAAATAACTCTATAACTATACCAAAAATAGTCGCCATCACTTTCCCAACCGAAAAAAACAGTTTCTGCTTTTTTTTTTGGAGTAATGAAGCTAACGTACAGTGTTTGTCATTATACATGTGGTAATATTGCTATATTCTAAACCGTAACAGATACTACAGGGTATGCTTTACATTGTTTTGCAACGTAAAAACATAACTTAAACAAATTGAGTAGGAAAATGTTATTAATGTAATAATATATATTCGATAAAACGTTTCGTGTCAACATGGCCACCATCAACTTTTTTTCAATTTGGACCTGTCTTTTTTATTACAGATATTGATGAAGCGATAAATTCACAATCCAAGGGTATATCACATTCGATATTTTTATAGCGTTTCAATTGAAATAACCACCATCATCAGTGAATTTTGTTCCCACAATTCCCAACCAAACATTCATTCCGAACCTTTCTTGGAAATTGGTTTACCTTTGTCTGTTAAACCAACCATTGTTGGTGAATTTTGATTCGTCCGTCCATATTCTTGTTTTAGAAATATTTCTAACTTCCCTATTTCTACGTCTTAACTTTGCGTATCCTGTAGCATTTATATTTGTTCTTTTTCGGAATAGTTCTGGTGGATTTTACAAAAGTCCTCATTTTGTGTGCAAGTTCTCGTGAAGAACAATCTTGATTAGCAAAATTTTTGTAACTGGCCAATCCTAAATCTATATATACAGTGTGTCTCACTTCTCATGAAAACACCCCCGTATTTTCCGTAATATTCGAGGTAGAACGATGAAACTCTCAGGACTGATGGAAATGCTCAAAATGCACCTACCACCTGAATGGGGTTGGCCAAAATGATATACAATGTCCGCCACTCGCGATGGAACACCCCATTTTTTCGGTGAAACATATTAGGGGGCAAAATAGAATCAAAATTCCTTCAGATTCGTCATCAGGACTACCAACTTACTACGAATACACTTTTTTCCTGAAAAAATTTCAGTCCTGAAAAATCCGAAGTTGTCTCACTTCTTATGGAAACACCCCCGTATCTTCCATAATATTCGAGGTGGAATGATGAAACTCTCAGGACTGATGGAAATGCTCAAAATGCACCTACCACCTGAATGGGGTTGGCCAAAGTGATATACACTGTCCGCCACTCGCGATGGAAAACTTTCAATCAGCACATCAAGAACTACAACATATCAAAATTTCGGCAAAATTCAAGGCAAGCCATTTCTCATAAGAAATGTGCGGGGTCCTTTATCAAAATATTGAGGAAACATTTTACCATCCGAAACAAAATTAATCATCATACTCATTGCAACACCGAAACAACTGTTAATTTTTTTCCATTTTGTGATATTCTCCGAAATAACAATTTTATTCGAAAAAGACGAAAAACAGCATTTTTGGTTTTCCTCGTATAACTCGAGAAAGGCGAGAGTCCCCGTAAATTTTCGTCAACCATTGTATTTTTCCCTATGACAGTTACCTTTTTTCCTATTAATCGTCTTCGTATCTGTCACGGTTTAGAATATAGCAATGTTACCACATGATAAAAGAAACGTCCTGTATTTGTTTTGGAATTTTTGATGTCGTTTTCTAATGAATTCGATTGTTTTCGAAAGTAGAGCTTCAATAATCCTAAACTGAGCAATCATCACTGAAGATAATTTAAATTTATGAAGGATCTCGCTCTGTATTTAGACCTTTGGAAGCAATATCAAGACTCTGAAGTTCTTCACAAACCCTGGTGTTCTACAAAATCCCAAAACATTCTACCACAAACAAAATACTCACCACCAGCATATAGATGTCGAACAGAATGGCTCCGATAAGAAAACACTCAAGTCCGGCCCTCTTCTGTTTGACATTGAAACTCTGGTAAAGTTTCTCCAGGGATGGATCGGTGAAGGTGTTAAATAAATAACATACTTCCTTCATTTTCTCCGCGGACTTGTGGTCCTCCATTTTCCGCTTCGTTTTTCTTACGTGGTATATTTCATCGGTATTTCAATTTGTGCGAGAACTTGATAAGGAAACATCGTTTTATGTGATTTATCCTTCCATGGTTCGGATGCTTTTGTAGAGTGGAACACGCAAATGTTGTGGGACATGCAAACAAGATGAGCTGATTAATAGTTTCTGTCTAGGTTTCCTCAGAGATATTTTTCAGACTGGTCACTGTTTTGTTGTGACTGAAACTTTCATGCTATTCGCACAACAGTTAATCACTTTTTTGGGAAAGAAAGTTTTTGGCTTTCTACTACTCCATCTGATACAAAAACTTTCTTTCCCAAAAAATTAATCACTCCTAAAAATATAACCCTTTCAAATCAGTTAATCACTTATAATTCCATTCAGTGGAATGGAACATATAGGGTGGATCATTTCGAATCAACTGACATACCACTTTTTTGCCATCAAATTAGTCGATTCCTCTTTTTAAAAAACTCAATCAATAAGACCTTCTGACATTAGATGAAAGATCTGAATATAATTTTAATTCTATAAGATATTCCTGTAACTTTGTAGGTCAACATTTCTAAGTGGAAAAATGATAGAAATTACTGTGAATTTGTTCTAGTAGTTTGCTTGGATTTGAAACGAGCAATGAAGACTCTGTTTTGAACAATGTATTCATATTTATTACAGGCTATAGGTTGAATATATCTTAAATTATGGTGTGCCGCAAGATACACTTACTTGGGCCCTACTTTTTTCAATATATATGAATGACATACATCTTTGTCATAGTCATTGTCATTATCAATTTCTGATTTAAACCTGAGCGGAGCTATTTCCCGAAGGAATCAATATGTATATCAGATTTTTCAATGCTTCATCAAAAATGAACTGGAAATAAACGTAACTGAAATCGAAGCAATGATATTTGAAACGCCACAACAGATGAGCATATATCAGAAGTTGCTTTGACTGTTGACAAGAACAAAATTGAATGTGTGAAGGATTTTAAATACTTGGTATTTATCATCAACAGCAACTTGACAGTCAGTTTCCATTTTAATATGGGTTACATTAACAGAAAGACAGTAAATAAGCTTCAGTTTTTCAGAAGAATATCTCGTCAAGAGCCAGAATGAATAATATTTACATTTTACCCCAATTTTATTATTGTGCTAGCCTTTGACCCAAAAAAATTTAACACTGAAAACTGAAAAATCGTGGATTGAAAATCATATGAAAGCTAAATAGTGGAAAATGAATAATAGTTCAAAAACTAAAAATTGACGCTTCAATAGCAACACTATCAAAAAATAATTTGACACTGATGAAAATAAAATTAAAAAAATATGGCATTGAAAGAAAAGTACTTAATTGGATCAGTGATTACCTTACAGGAACCAAAATTAATGAGTTTGTCTCAACAGCAATAAACGTAGACCACGGGGTTCCGCAGAGAAGTATTTTAGGGCCATTGCTATTCCTAATTTACATTAATGATATCAGCAAATGTAATGAATGTGATTATGAACATCATTTTGCTGATGATGCCCTAGTATCGGTTAGTGAGAGAGATATAGCTAAAGCTATTCAAAAAATGAATGAAGCATTGAATAATATTGCTACATATTCAAAAACTAATGCATTGAAGCTAAATGTCAACAAAACAAAGGCTATGATA